GAGGCACGAAGCGGCCGCAAAGGCAACTGCGACGTCGGGCTGCCTTCTTGCGTTTATAGTGCCTTCTTCCGCTTTTAGCAGCGTGCAGGAGTTCATCAAAGGTAGCACGGCACTCCAATCTACCATTCAGAAGCGCCCCTCAGTTCCTGGCTGCTTGCGCACCGCGGTGGGGATTCAAGACTTAGAGGCCGGACGGACTGTTATTCTCTGCGAGGGGCGCTCTCCCAAGTGAATGCCAACCTTAACGAGGAAAGGCTTCACCCAATTAAACTATGAAATAGAACCGCACCTCTAAGCTCCCTTGCAGTAAACCGACTGTTACAAAAAAGACACTCAACCCTTCCTGGAGAAAATTGTATTGATCAAGAAATAGAGATTAATTGTGTTTTGTTATTGTTTATGCAATTATCGAAACTTTGTCGAGAACCAAATTCCTCGAGCTGTTTAGAAACTTCCAGGAAAGTTTCACAGTGCTCTGAAGTCGACTGTCACTATAGACATAAGGCCACCAGCCTATTGCTGTTTCTCTCAGACTAACATCCCGAAGCGCCTCATGATTCCCACCGCACTGTAAAATGTTTTCAAAATAAATCTATGCAACGTAACGAAGAGATTTCGATCTTATCATATTGCAAAGAATTAGTCTGTATTGCAAAATAATTCAGTACTAGCAGTCAGACTCGTTGCAAACAATAATTTGATTGGAAAAACTTCGCTAGCTTGCAAAGAACTGTTTCGCAGGGAAATGTTTCAAAACTCTTGGTAATGTTTGCAGTACGAACCTATTTTAGCAAGCATTTTGCAGTACATGGTTATGAACACTTCGCCACTACGAACACGAGTCGATATATCGAATATTCGCCATCCAAGGCTGATACGAGCGCGCAGTTTAACACCTTGCAACGCAAAATGCCAAATCCTTTGCAACTGCAATTATTATTGCAACTACAAAGCGAGTGCTTTGCGATTGCTAAGGATTTTGCTTAGCAATAAGGTTTTAAATGTGTGAGCCGAGGCCGACAGCGCACGCAGAGCGAACCCCAACCACATGGGGCCCGGCCAGTACGTGTAGAGAGGGGGGGGGCGGTAAGAGGCCGATATGATGGGAAGGAGGCGATAGTGGCTGAGGAATGAGATAGGAAAGAAATGGAAGGAGGGTGTGTGCGCAGAGTGAGTTCAGGCGCGGCCCCAGGGGGCGCCAGGGCCTGGGGCGCACGGCTCGCGCGTTTCGCGCTCATAACGGCGCTCTTGCGGTCCGTCTCCGCCTCTCCGCTGTCTATCCCCGCGCACCACCCTTCACACTTCTAACCCCTTCTCGTTGCCACTACGGTGTGCCTGTCGCTCCCCCGGAGTGAGCGATGTGACGCACGTCGCTGACAGGGGCGTTGCTAATGGCGCCGAGGTGCCCGTCGACAACGACGCAAGACGGCGTCGGAGAGCCTCTCGTCCTGGTTGAGGGGCCGGGGCTGCCACCCAGGGGACGTCATACGAGGGCGGCTTGGCGGCAGACTCACCGACAGCCAGCCGACCACCCGGGGGACCCACCGCCAACGAGACGACGGTGGTGACGGAAAAGTAAGACTGGGATCGATCGGCGGCGCCCGTTGTTGCAGTGCGCGCGGCGCGGCGGGGCGCTGCAGGCCCGTCGATAAATCTTATTCCGAGCTGGGGAAGCCGGGCCCGGCCGCCCTTCGCGCTGCCGCCGAGGCTCCCCTTTTCCGACGAAACTTTCCCACGTCTGCGCGAGGCGCGCTAAGTTCATCGGACATGCAGGTACAGTCGTTATCGTGACCGTCAAATCGATCTCACAGGCTGGGCGCTACAGGTTCAGCGCGCCCGATCGCAAGGGGCCACTATGAAATAATAATTAAGGGTGTTGAGGAGGTTGGGCGGGCCTGAGGGCGGGCCGCACCTCCGAATGTGAGCTGGGGTTGGCGCGAGGCCACCCTACGCGCTGAGCCGCCGCCAGGACCCACCTGTCAGTTCTACTTTTTTTTCCGCCCTAGCGGTTTATGGGTTTTTACCACAGTGGGTGGCCGAAAAAACATAGAGGAAGCCCCGCACCGTGCTGGCACGGCCACGCCATGCGAAAGTGACGTGACAGTTGACGGGACTACAATAAGGCCTGCTGCCCACGTGGTTGAACTCAGTTCCGGGGCCGGGCGGTGGTCTGGCCAAGGCGAGACGCTAGAACGTGAACGCCTCCTGCTCGCCACCCACACGCGCGGTAGGGAGGGGGGGGGGCGTGCGTGGTCGCACAAAGCGGAGTAGGGGGGCACGTACCCATTGGGCCATTGGTCTTTTTGGAGATGCAATAAGCTGAAGACGATTTTTCGGAATAACGTGTTTCCCCCGTGACAAGTTGGTTAAGTGCTATGCTTTGATTTCAGTTCCAGGCGGCACTGCTGCAGCGTTGGATACTGCCGCACTTCATGTGCCCCTTCTGCCCGTTCGTGCAGGTGCTCACGGTCACGGTCAGTGTGTTCACTCTCACGGCCATCGCCATCGACCGGCATCGCGCCATCCTCAACCCTTTAAGGTGAGCCCAATTAAGTACGGCACAGCCCGTTCGCAACTTAAATGTACTTAAATCGATACACATGGAGATGATAATCAGCGATAATTATTCTTGTGAGACTCGCATTGGGGATAAAAAGTGGACCTGACTTGTTAGCACCTCACTGAAGTCGATTTTCGTGAGTGCATTGCTCTTACTCCTTAGAAAAATGTTCTCCAGACAAGCACACGGTTCTCAAAACGCGCGCAATGATCCGATAACAGTCGAGTAGACATTTGGCTGGGTGCGAGTTAGAGTTGATGTGCATAGCGGAAACCTCGGGAGCCCCTGCACAAAGACCCGCGCATTACAGTGGTACACGCCACGCTACGAGGGGAAAAGGCTTAACCCAAACTGGCCTGGCTCTTCTTTCTGACAGCACAGGGAAACAAGCAGCCCAAGCTAAGGGAAATTGGGAAAAAAGGCCAGGAGTAAAATAGGTCGTGTTCCGGCGGGGAGATTCGGGGTTGCTGTCAGGTGAGATGGCCGCGGGGAGTGGATGGGGGAAGAGCATGGGTCGGCTGAACTTGTCTGGGGAACTCTTTGCAGCGGCTGCGGCTGACTTTGGACCGCTGGGATGATGCCGTTGGGTATTCTTGCTGCTTGTTGCTGGTGCGGCTCTAAGGCCGGCCGCCCCACCCCGCCTCCCTAATGTAGCGGCCCGGCCGAGGTCCCTGGAGGGTGTGGCGAGAGGCAAGGGATGATGCCCCTCTGCCCCTCCCCAGCACATCTATTCATCTCGATACCCAATAGGGCTCCGGTCAGGCGCTCCTGAGTGGGAGGCTGGGGCGGCGCTGTCGAGGGCATTGTCACATCAGGGCGCTCTACAAAAGTCGCCTCATCACATTAGAGTAAGTTAATGGGCGCGCTTTTGACGTTCCGTAAGAAGTAAACAGGCTTTCGCGCCGTCCTACCTGCGGTGCGCGGTTCGCCGTTCGTTCATTCGCGGTCCGCTTTGGGGTTGCGGCGGTACGGGGGACACCCCCCGTTGCGTAGCGACGAAGTCCCCCCACCCCTCCCCACACTCTGCGACCGGAGCGGCGCAGTAAAGGGGGCAAACGGCCAATACCGTGAGCGCGCACAGTGAGGAGTGCGCGGTCGTGGCGCGTTTAATGAGCCGAGCTCCAGCCACTCACGAACCTCACGGGGACCACGCCGTGTGGGGTCGCGGGCGTTGCGAGGTATTACAATTAAGCACTCGGTCACTGGAATGTACAGTACACACTGTTAATTTTCTCGTTCCACGATAGTAACTGACAAAAATGGGTCGTCTTTGAAAGTAACGAGCATTATTGTCAACTTTGGGTACGAATTGTTCGTTGTGAAAATCAAACTATTCATATTTCAATATTTTGTTTCGAAAGTTTTAATGTTCGGGACTGTGTTGTTTTAGTGTAGTAACCAAAGAAACAAACTGATCGATATTTTACGGATGTATTTGTTATAATTTTAAATATACCAAAGAGTCTTGTAGCATTTTAGCA